TTTAAAAGTGCAGGAGATAAATACATCAACAGAGCTTCATCTTAGACTTGTGGGAGCCATAATAAAACTATAAAACTTACAGGCCACAAATCTCAGAAATAGATCTGCTGAATGTTGATTAACTAAGATCTGAATGTCTGAAGTCTTGTGGTTTGTGAGCCCACTCCCAAATAAGAGAAAAATGTCATAAATCACCTGACACATAATACCAAAGGAAATCCATTCACAAGTCCTTTCTTGCTGGCATAAAAACCCCTTACTTCAGCTTTTTTCAGCAACCACTTTTCCAGGATGCTTCCCTGCTGGAAGAGCTTTCCTTCCTTCAATAAACTCCACTTTGCTATCCCCTCTCTTTGTTCTGCTTCTCTAATTCTTTGTGATTGTGAGACAAGAACCAGATCCTGCACTGGAATTGGGACTGATCACCCCCAACATCCTGTGTCACCAGTACTTTAGTTCTCTAAATAATGTTAATAATTTGCATTTTTATGGCAAGCACTGCATATGGAAGCCATCTTGAGCTATCTGCCATCTTGAGCTATCCACCATCTTGGAAACCATTAGGCTTCACTTCCTCACTGAGCAAACCTTCTCTCAGAAATCATGTGACCAACCGTTCTCCTTGGAAGTGGCTGGGTTTCTAGGCAGTGGGAGAGATCCACCCACATCAATGATTGGTTCATGCTGTTCTATCTCATTTGCATTTCAGGCAAACAATTGGTGCCTACCAGCTGTATATAACTCACCATTTTTCCTCAATAAATGGAAGTAGATGGAAGAAGACGACTTGATCTGCACCTCGTATTGTGTGTGCGTGTGTTTGTCCCATCTCTCACTCCCTCCCCCAGGGAACCTGTTCGACTGTCCTGCAGATCGGGACACATTTTGATCAGCTTTTTTGTTACTCTAAAGCAAGAATAATGCTCTTTTCAGTTTTATATCATTAGGTGAAACCAGCCTCTGGTTGTTTTTTGATAGTTTTTAGCTGCTAAAGTATATTTATTCACTATTTATGCTTTTCTTTTGTAATAGCTTTGTTTAGATGAATACTAACTGATACTTATTTTGAAATGCATATCTTTTAGGGAACAGCAATAGCGGACAACTAGAAGGCTGGTTTACTACACTACTTAGTTTTTGAGCAATTTCTCATGCTCATAAAGTAGTTTTTATGTGTGGGTGAGGTAAGCACATACTTGGCCATGGACCCAAGGCTGGTTGAAAGCTGGGAATGGAACATGGTGTTAGAAACCCCACACCATTGATAACCTTGGTAACCACTGTTTTATTCTCTGTTTCTGTATAATTGACTTCTAATTTTTTTTAGGTTCCACATATAAGTGAGATCATGTAGTGTAATAGTTTTCTTTCTATGCCTAACTTATTTCACTTAGAGTATTGTTCTCCAGTTTCTTCCTTGTGGCAAATCTCCTTTGTAAACGTTGTTTAATATTCCATTATATACAAATGAAACCACAGTTTCTTCTTTCATTCATCTGGCAATGGACTCTTAGGTAGTCTCCAAATCTTGGCTAAAGTAAATAATGTGGTCATGAACATGGAGTGCACAATTCTTTATGAAATGGTGACTTTTCTTTCAATACGTACCCAGAAGAGGGATTGCTGGTTCATATGGTAGGAACCTCCACACTGTTTTCCATAATGGCCAAATTTACTTTCTACCAATAGTACAGAAAAGTTTCTGATTCTTCACACCTTCACCAGTATTTATCTCTTTACTCTCTGATAATTTCTGATAATAGTCACCCTAATGGGTGTGAGCTGATATAAGTATTTCCCTGGTGATTAATGATATTAAGCACATTTTCACACACCCGTTGGCAATATTTATGTCTTCTTGGAGGAACATTTACTCAGGTCATTTGTCTTTTTTTAGAAAAATTGAGCTATAGGGAACCAGCAGGTGGCATGGTGGGTTAAGGCGCTGGACACTCCTACATGGCTGACCAGGGTTCAAGTCCTGAATCTAGTGGCTTGCTTTCTCACTTCCTCTCTCTCTCACTCTCACCCTCTGTCTCTCTCTGGTCAAATTAAAAAATAAATGAATGAATGAATAAAATAAAAAATAAATGATTATTTAAAAAGAAAAGAAAAATCGAACTATAGAAAGATCAGTAGTTGCCTATGGCAGGAGTAGTGAAGAGGGAATAATCTGCTAATAGGTATGGGGTTTCTTTTGGTGGTGATGAAAATGTTGTATACAGAATTCTATTCCATGCACTAGTTTTCCTAATACACTTTTGTTATTTAGTTGCACAATTGAACTATCAAAAAAGTAATTATAATTTTGAATCCTCTTTCTAAAATTAGAAATATCATATTGAATTTTCAAGTGTAGTATTTCATTGGTTAGTATTTCCAGAAAAATATTAAATAAAAGAGGTTAATTGTGGATACCCCTGACATGTTTCTGAGCAATATTTTCACTATTAAGTATTTTGATAGTGCTTGGCTTGATATGTATGTAGATTAATACTTATGTAAATATGTGTTTTGTGTGTGTGTGTGCATATGTTCAACTGAGGATTGAAGAAAACACATTTGAAACCAGTATAATCTGCTGTAAAGAAAATCAGCATTTGCAACACCAGAAGCCACCACCTATTAGAACAATGCCATCAAAGCACTAATCTCAAGTAAAACAAGTGCTGCTCCATATTTATAACCTAGGGCCATCCTTCCCTTTTCACCACTGTCTAATAATCTGAATTTTAGACAAAATGTATCTTTCTAGTATAGAAAATTCTGATCTGTAGAAAAATACGAAATATTTCTTGTTGGGGTTTTGCAGTTTAGGATAGATGATAGCTAAGAAAGAAGGTGGGGAACAAAACTGTATTCTAGGGTATACATGACATAATGTCCATAGTCTATAACTCACAATCCAAACTACAAGGCATATGAGAAAGAAAAATGTGCATCATTTTATGAATATTGTCCAATTGCAAGGAAAAATAGATAATAATTAGTATTATCAGATAAAGGTTTGAGTAGCTAACAAAATGAAACTAAATGCTTAAATAAAGGGAAATTCTCATGATGAAGAAAAAAAGAAAATCTCAGTAAAGAAATAGAAAATTCAAAAAAGTATATTGGTATAATTTGAACATCTCTCACCCCCCCACTCGTGTTTAAAATGTGGTGAGATATATTTTCAGTTTAAATTTTTTTTTAATTTAAATTGTAAAAGTATTACAGGAGGGAACTTTATCTAACTAATAGGATTAAGAGGTGGAACCTTTGAATGTGATTAGAAATGTGTAAGTGTATCAGGATGGAGCCTCCCATGGGACACTGGGGGGTTTATAACAAAGCATAGATAATCTGCTCTAAATGTGTTCTGCCCTCCACCATATTGTGATGCAGCAAGAAGACCCTCACCAGTTGCTAGCACTGTGCTCTTGAACTTAATATCCAAAACCAGAGCTCAATAAACCTCTATTCTTTTAAATTACCCACATTTTGATATTTCTGTTATTAGCAACAGAACAGACTAAACGAGTATTAAATGGAAAATATATCCTAAATTTAAAAAAATGTATAAACTTAAAAGTAGAATAAAGATGTCAGAGTAAAAGGGCACTTAAATTGATGATAGATCAATAGGAATTAAAATTAAAATGTAAGACCAAACTATTTGTTCTCTACAGAGACATCAGAGTTGGTTAATAATAGAGTTTCAAAATACATGAAGCAAAAATAGGAAGAATTAAAGAAAGAAGTAGACAATTCTGTGATCATGTTAGGAAAATTTAATACCACTGCCTCAGCAACGGATTTTACTGGACAAATATCAGCAAGATTATGGAGACTCTACTATAATAGCCACTATCAGTCACCTTTAAAAGTATAGAAAGCAGAAATAAACAGAATTACAAGGAAAAATCCAATGTAAAAGAAATTTTAATTTACCTTTTTAAAAAATTTATCTTTTTTATGATTGAAATATCAAACAAAAGATAGTTAAAATTTAAAATATATCAACTAAAAACATACCATTTTGACTTTTGGTTATAGAAAAATGTACTTCTTATCAAGCATACTTGGAATGTTATGCTGATGGTTTTGCACTAATTATAAAGCAAATCTCAGCATATTTTGTAAAACTATTATCATGCCATGTACGCTGACTATAATTTAAAAATCCATAATAAAAAAACATGTTTAGAAATTTGAAAACATGTCTAAATAAT